CCTGGGTGGCTCAGGTGTTAAGTAGCTGGTTTTGGCTCATTTCATGATCTCACAGTTCGTGGGTTTGAGCCCCGTGTCAGGCTCTGTGCTGATAGCTCAGAGCCTGGAGTGTGCTTCGGATTCTTATGTTGCCCTCTCTCTCTGCCGTTCTCCTACTTGCACTCTGTCTCTCTCTCTCAAAAAAAAAAAAAAAAAAAAGAAAAAAAAGTAAATTTTTTTAAGAAAAAAATAAAAATTCAAAGAAAAAACCAAAATGAGTAGTATAAAGCCTCCCAACTTATTTCAAAGTGGTTATAGGTTCTTCCCATTTACATATAAAATTTAGGATCCACTTGTCTATTTCTACAAAAAACATTTGCTATGATTTGATCAGATTTGCACTAAATCCATATGTCAATGTGGGAAGAATTTTTAACTTAAGAGTCTTCAAATCCATGAATATGTGATATCTTTCCATTATTTACTAATTTCTCTCAAAAAATTTTTGTTTTTAGTTTTCAGTATTTAAACCATGCACTTTCATTAAATTTATTCTGAAGAATTTGGAATATTTGATATTAGGAAGAGAATTTTCATAATTTGATCCATTGTTATTATATAGAAATGCACTTAAATTTTTTAATGTTTCTGGATATATGATCATGTCTGATAAGATCAGATTTTTCCAATCTGAATGTTAATACTTTCTGTTAATAACTTTTTGCTTTGCTGGGGTTCCTGGGTGACTCAGTCAGTTGAGCCTCTGACTTCAACTCAGGTCATGATGGGTTTTTTTTTTTTTTTAATGTTTATTTATTTTTGAGAGACAGAGAGAGACAGAGCATGAGGAGGGTTGTAGAGAGAGGAAGAACCAAAGCAGGCTCCAGGCTCCAAGCTGTCAGCACAGAGCCTGACATGGAATGCAAACTCATGAACCATAAGAACTCAGGTTATGATCTTGCGGTTCATAGGTTTAATCCCCGCATCAGGCTCTGTGCTACAACTCAGAACCTGGAGCCTGCTTTGGATTCTGTGTCCCCTCTCTCTCTGCCTCTCCCCCATTACTTGGGCGCTCTCTCTCTCAAAAATCAATATTAATAAAATTAAAAAAATAATTTTTTGCTTTGTTGTATGGGCTAGATCCTTCAGTAAGGTATTGAATAGAAGCATTGAGAGTGCATTGTATTGCTCCTGGTCTTCAGGAGAAAGTTTGTAGATTTTCACTATTAAGTGTAATATTAGCTGTAGATGTCCTTTTTAGATTGAGGAAGTTCCCTTTTGTTCCTAGTTTGTTGAGTTTTGAATCATGAATGGGTGTTGGATTTTGTCAGATTTTTCCTTCTGCATCCAATGAGATGATCATATAGATTTTGTCCTTTATTCTTTTAATATGGTATATTACATTAATTAATTTTCAGAGGTTAACTCAATCCTGTATTCCTGGAATTAGTTTCACTTAGTCATGCTGTATAATTTTGTATATGTTGTTAAATTTGGTTTTCCTAAATTCTGTTAAGGAATTTTGTGTTTTTATTCATTAAGAATATTAGTCTATTGCTTTCTTGTGGTGCCTTTGTCCAACTTTGTTATCAGGGCAACACTGGCCTCGTTGAAGGAGTTGCATGATGTTTCCCTCTCTATTTTGTTTTGAAATAGTTTCCAAAGGACTGCTATTACTTCTGTACTATTTGATAGCATTCACCAGTGAAGCTGTATGGGCCTGGGCTTTTCTTTGTGGGAAGATTTTTAATTACTAATTCAGTTTCCTCACTTGTGTTAGTTCCATTTGGATCTTGTTTCTTTTCGAGTTTGATAACTTGTGTATTTTTAGAAATTAGTCCATTTCATATTGTTTAACTTGATATAAATTCCATATTTTTAAAATAGTCTTTTAAAATACTATAACATTGGTAATGATCTGTCATTCTTTATTTTGCTAATTTATATCTTTTCTCTGTTTTCTGATAAATCTAGCCTAAGTATGTCAATTTTGTTGATTTTTTAAAAAAAGGTTTATTTATTTTTGAGATAGAGAGTGTGTATGTGCAGGAGCAAGCAGGGGAGAGTGAGAGTGAGGAAATCCGAGCAGGCTCCGCTGTCAGCACAGAGTCTGACATGGAGCTCAAACCCAGGAATGAGATCGTGACCTGAGCACAAATCAAGAGTCAGACACTTAACTGACTGAGCCACCCAGGTGCCCCCATTTTTTTAATCTTTTTTTAAAGAACTAACTTTTGGGGCATTTGGGTGGCTCAGTTGGCTAAGCAACTGACTTTGGCTCAGGCCATGATCTCGTGGTTTGTGGGATCAAGCCCTGCTTCAGGCTCTGCGCTGACAGCCCAGAACCTGGAGCCTGCATCAGATTCTGTCTCTCTCTGTCTCAAATAAATAAACATTATTTTTTTTTAAAGAACCAGCTTTTTATTTAATTGATTATTTTTCTATTTTTTCTATTTTCTGTTTCATTGATTTCTACTCTAACATTTCCCCCCCTTTCTTCTGCTTGCTTTAAGCTTAGTGTACTTCCCTAACCCAAACCCAATACTTGTTGCCTAAGGTAGAAGCTTAGATTATTGACTTGTGACCTTTTTTCTTTTCTGATGGATGTTTAAAGCTATACATTTCCCTCTGAGCACTGCTTTAACTACATTCCATGCATGTTGATACGCTGTTTTTGATTTTTTTTAAATAAACTTTTAAAAAATGTTTTTATTTCTGAGAGAGAGAGACAGTGTGAGCAGGGGAGGGTCAGAGAGAGAGGGGGGTTAAAGAATCTGAAGCAGGCTTCAGGCCCCGAACTAGCTGTCAGCACAGAGCCTGGCGCGGGACTCGAGCCCATGAACCGTGAGATTATGACCTGAGCCAAAGTCAGACGCTTAACCAACTGAGCCACCCAGGTGCCCCTGCTGTTTTTGTTTTCATTCAATTCAAATATGTTTAAATTTTTCTTGTGATTTATTTGACCTATGGATTATTTAGAAATTTGCTGTTGAATTATCAGTATTTCAGAGTATTCCCAGCTTTTTCTCTGTTGTGGATCTTTGATTCTGTTGTGGTCAAATAATGTATTTTTCATGATTTCAGTATTTTTAAATTCACTGAGACTTCTTTTGTGGCCCAGCATATGGTTTATTGGAATGTTTTATGTGCGTTTGAAAAGAATATGTATTCTGCAGTTTAGAGGTGGAACGTTGTGTCAGTTATATCAAATTCATTCGATAGTGTTTGTCAAGCTATATCCTTGCAGATTTTCTATCTTGTTTTATCAATCATTGTACTCTGCGACTATTTTTGTTGTTTTGTCTTTCTCTTTTTGATTTTCTTTTTTTGCTTCCATGTGTTTTGGGGTTTTATTGTTAGTTGTGTATAATTATTATGTCTTCCTGATGCAGTGACTGTTTTATCATTAAGAACTAACCTTCTTTGTCTTAGTAATGTTTCTTGTTTTAAATTTTATTTTGTCTTTTTAATTCTATAGCTACTCTAGTTTTCTTAGGGTTCTGTTTGCTTAGTATATTATTTTTCTATCCTTTAATTTTAACATTTTTATGTCTTTGAATCTAATATATATCTCTTAAAGGTAGCATACTTTTGGGTCTTGTTTTTTGTTTTTATTTAAATTCAGTCTTACATTCTCTGCCTTTTGAATTTGGTATCTAGTCCATTCACATTTAATATAATTGTTGATTTTATTGGGTTTACGTCTGCTATTTTGTTATTTTCTGTTTGTCTTATGCTCCTCCTTCTTTTCCTCCTTTACTGACTTTGTATTAGTTTTTAGTGAACCATTTTACTTCTTCTGTTAATTTCTTTCAATGTTATTTTCATATTGGTTGCTCTAGGGATAATAATATACATTTTAACTTATTATAGTCTCCTTCAAAATGATACTAAATTAATTCTGGTAAATTATGGAAACTTCAGTGTATCTCTTTTCCCTCTTTGTTGTTCTATTATTATCATACATATTATAGTTATACATATTACACCCAGCCAAATACTATTTTATTGCTTTATACGATCTTATTTTTTTTAAGGGAAATGAAGAAAAGTAATGAGAGTAATTACATTTCTAGAATCTTTTCTATTTACCTATATAATTATATTTTCTGCATACTTTATTTTTTTTCCTGTGGATTTGTTACTTTCTGGTGTGATTCTTCAGCATAGAGGTCTTCCCTTAGTATTTCCCCTAATGCATGTTGGACAGCAACAAATTCTCTCAACACTTTATTTCACTGTCATTTATTTTTTTTAATGTTTTTTATTTATTTCTAGGAGAGAGAGAGAGACAGCGTGAGCAGGGGACGGTCAGAGAGAGAGGGAGTCACAGACTGAAACAGGCTCCAGGCTCTGAGCTGGCAGCCAGCACAGAGCCCGATGCGAGGCTTGAAGCCACAAACCGCGAGATCATGACCTAAGCGAAAGTCGGATGCTTAACCGACTAAGCCACCCAGGCGCCCCTTCACTGTTATTTTTGAAGGATGGTTTTGCTAAATACAGAATCCTTAGTTGAGAGCTTTTTTGTTTCTTTAAATTCCATGGTTTCGTTTCCTGGCCTCATTGTTTCTGATAGGATGCCAGCTGTTAATCATGTCATTGTTCCCTTGTATGTGATGAGTTATTTTTCTCTTCCTCTTTTTAGGTGTTTTTTTTTTTTTTTTTTTGTGGTCTATCAGCATTTTGATTGTGGTATGTCTTGGTATTGATCTATTTATTTATGTTGGATTTGCTGGGCTTCTTGTATAGGTAAATTAATATTTTTCTTCAAATGAATTTGTAGGCATTATTTCCTAACCTTTTTTTCTGCATTTTTTTCAGTCCCTGATGCTCTTTCCTCTTCTTATGGAATTCTCATTTTATATATATATGTTAATATGTATTTTATTATATGTATAAGTTAATATAATATAATATAATAATAACATATATTTTATATATATAAGTTAATATGCTTTACATCTTCCTGCAGAATCTGACATTCTGTTCATTTCTCTTTATTTTTTCTTTCTATTCTTCAGAGTGGATATTTCGTCATTGATCTTCAGGTTCATTACTTCTGTCATCTGTCATCTCAAGTCTGCTGTTGAGCCCCTCTAGTGAGTTTATTTCAATAATCATACTTTTCAACATGAGAATTTCCATTTTTAAAAGCAATTTTTGTCTCTCTTTTCAGTCATCTGAGTCATTGCCATCATACCTTTCATTGAGTTCTTTAAAGATGCTTTTCTTTTAGTTCTGTGAACATATTTATTATAACTCATTTGAGGTTTTTGACTGCCAAATCTAATATCAGGAGACACCCAGAGACATACTCTGTTTGATGTTTTTCTTCTTGAGAAAGGGTCACAGGTTTGTGGGGTTTTTGGGGTTTTTTTGCTTGTATTCTAATTTTTTGTTGAATACAGGGCATTTTAGGTAATATTTTGAAGCAACTCTGTATTTTGACTTTTGGAGGCTGAGGTTTTTTTTTCTGTTTGTTTAGTAACTTGTCTGGTCTAAATTTGTGACGTCTGTTTCCCCTACATTATGTTGTTCTGCTGATTTTATTTTTTTAAACCTGGCTTTCTGTGTCTGTATACCTTAGTGTTCAACCAGGTATTGGTCAGAAGTTGTGTTCAAACAGTTTGAACTAATACAGCTATGCTAAATATTAATATGACTAGTACTGCTGATGATCTATGTGATTATGAGGGAGTACATTCAGACACAGGTCATTTTTAAGTTGGCCCTGGCTTTTATTTTGCACCAGGCTCTCTTGCCACGTGCATAACCATATCTCTGTTGGCCAAGGGTGTTTGGGTGGCATGGACTTCCTTCAGTGTCCAATGCACAGTCTTAATTTAACCTGCGCTAGTAAGTAGTTTATCAAGCTCCTACAAGGCTGTTTCAGCTTCCAGAACTCCTGTAAAATCCTCAGCTAGTCTGCCAGTTGTTGCTTGCCACATAGAGTTCTGCAGCCTCAGGGTCCAGGTGCCGCTGGCCCTCACTGTTAACACAGAAGTCTCCACTTAGCTGACAGTGTAGCACATCAGCAGATTAACCTCAAGTAGTGGTGGTGAACCTGCTCTTTTCACAGTCTGGCTCCTACAGTGACAAAGATGGGAGGAGATGGGAGCCAAAGCCAAAGGTACTTTGGGAGTAGCCATAGGTAGATTCATGTTCTTCTTATCCAGAGTTTAGCTGTTTTCCCGAATAAACACTTTCAGTTTGTTGAATGGTTTTGATTGAAATCCAAATCACTGAAATGGTTGTTGGCTGTTTTGTGAAGAAGATTTATCAACCAGCTCATTTCCTCATGCTGTTTTTTTGTTTTGTTTTGTTTTGTTTTTGGTTCTGTGTGGAACTCTTTTCTTAGGAGGACAAGACTTGACCCATACTTCTTTAATATCACTCATAATCCTTTGCACAATATTAGTCATTTATTTGTCCTCTAGATATACTTGTTGACTGAAATTCCCTGATTTTCTTTTAGCGTCAAATTATAAAGCATTTGGGGTTTTGGAATCCCAAGACCTATGCAATTTCTTGCCTTTTCTGTCCTTTTGATGAGTGGAAGAAACTGCTTACTATTCACTCAACAAGTGTTTATTGATTACCTGCCATGTTCCAGCTATTATGTAAGGTTTTGGGGGCATTAAGATGACTAAGACATAATCTCTGATCTCAGGGAGGTCTTTGTCTAGTGCAGGAGATTGGAATACAAATAGCTGATTATAATACAGTGAAGTAACTAAATTGATATGGATAAATAGGTGACATTATGGAGGAACTCACAATGACAATTAACTCAGAATGGATTAGATGAAAAGAAAAAGGGATGCATCTAGGAAAGACTTTTAGAAGGAAGTAGTGACTGAGTTGAATATAAAAATGAGTGAAAGGGGAGATTAGGAGGTTGCATTCCACAGAGGGGTCCATGTGAGGTGAGCAAATGTGTGGTATGTTCAATGAACTGCAAGTGGTTTAGTTTTGTTAGGGTATAAGTACAAATCAGGGAGTTGTGAGAGATGAGAATGGAAGGATAAAGAGGGTCCAGAATGTGAATTGTTTTGTGTACTATACTAATAAGCTTGAATTAACCTTTATTGACCAGTTTTTTCAAAACTGTTGAGTGGGAAGCACTTTAGGATTCTGCCAAGATTTGATTTGAATGTTTTTTAACTACATCTTCAACTATTTTAAAAGGTACAATAAAAGATAAATATATCCAAATGTGCTATAAACTGGATTTAAAAACATTAGAGACATCCAGCATATTAACTAATATGGAAATAAAAATCTAATATGTCTTCAATATAAAATCTTCTGAATTAAAATTTTTATATTTAATATACACAAATAAAAGACCTAGTATGTTTTAAATATTGGAAGTCTATAAGATTTAATTTGAAGATATTTACTAAAATTCTTTGAATACTGCTGTTTTAGATTTGGTAATTCTGTAGAGTATGGAATTGGGGCTGGCAATAAGCAGTTGTTGAATATATTTTTGAGTATTGCATAAACTTGCGTGGAAAGGCATGGGATTTCAGTAATTCTGGGTTATTTCTTAAAGTGGAGGCTTTAACTTCAAGCCTCATTTTCTTTTATATTTGGTCACTGTTTTCTGATGTGCAAAGAGGAGACTTCCCTCCTCCTTTGGTTGTCAGGTAGACTTGAGGTGTCTTTTTTTTTCAATTGACATTTTCCCTGTAGTTATAGTTTATGTATGTTGTAAAATAACAAAGGTACAGGAAATGCACAGACATAAAATCACACCTATCACCCACAGATCATCTTACTTAATATTTTAGTGTTTATCTTTTCTGTTTTTCATGTATATATGGTTATATAAGTATGCTTTACACAAAATAAGGATTATATAACAGAGTATTTTGTAGTGTGTTTTCTACTTCTGTAACAAATATCTCCTGATGTTATTAAGTACTCTTTTATAACTTTTTCTTTTTTCTTTTTTTTTTTTTTTTGTTTAAAGAAAAATTTAACTGTGATATTTTGCTCTAGCATTTACTTTTAGGAAAGTTTTTTTTTCTTAATAGTTCATAATAAGAGCTAAATTTATACATATATATATATATATTTAATGTTTGTTCCTGAGAGAGAGAGAGTGTGTGAGCAGGGAGGGTCAGAGAGAGAGGGAGACACAGAATCTGAAGCAGGCTCCAGGCTCTGAGCTGTCAGCATAGAGCCTGAAGCAGGGCTCGAACCCACAAACTCTGAGATCAAGACCTGAGCTGAAGTTGGATGCTTAACCAACTGAGCCACCCTGGTGCCCCAAGAACTATTTTTAAAAACAGCTTTTTTGAATGTAATTGATAAATAACAAATAGTACATTTTTAAAATTAAAGTTTTGATATATATATATACTTGCAAAACTATCATAGTTAAAATAGTAACTATATTACCCCCAAAAGTTTTCTTATGCCCCTTTCTGATCTTTCCCTTTTGCTCCTGCCCCCTCCTACTGCTCACTTCCTGTTTCCAGGTAACCACTGTTATGCTTCCTGGCGTTACGATCGGTTTGCATTTCCTGGAATTTTATATAAATGAAATAATATAAAATGTACTTTTTTGTCTAGATTTTTTAAACTCAGCATAATTATTTTGAGATTCATTTATGGTAAGGAAATAATTTTTATTGAATATTGTTCCATTGTATGGATATATTATAGTTTGTTTATCCATTCACCGCTTGATGGACCTGTGTTTGGGTCTTACAAAAAAAGCTGCTGTAAACATTTGTGTAGAAGTCTTTGTATAGACATGCTCTCATTTCTGTTAGGTGAATACTTAACAATGAAATGGCTGGATTATATGGTAAGTGTCAATTTCTTAAAAAACTTAATCAAATGATTTCCCAAAATGATTTTCCCATTTTATATTTCTGCCAGTTTATGAAACTTTGAATTCTCCTCCATTCTAGACAGTACTTTGTAATATTAGCCTTTTAAGTTTTAACCATTTTAATAGGTGACTAGTAGTTTTACATTGTGTTCTTTAAAAAAAAAACATTAAAAAAAATTATTTAAGGGAGAGAGAGAGAGAGAGCGCGAGAGCGAGCGAGCTCCAGCAGGGGAGGGGCAGCGCAGAGTCCCTGTGCTGGTGGAGAGCTGATGTGGGGCTTGAACTCAAAAACTGTGAGATAATGACCTGAACTAAAATCAAGAGTCATGCCTAACTGAGCCACCCAGGTGCCCCTGCACTGTGTTCTTAATTTGCATGTCATTAATAACTAATGGTATTTAACATCTTTTCAAATGTTTATTTAACCATTTGTGTATCTTCTTTGGCATGGTGTCTATTCAAATCTTTCAGCCAGTTTTATGTTAAATTGAGTTGTTTTTTTATTTTTCAGAATTCTTTATGTATTTTGGATGCAAGCCCTTTATCAGTATCATAGATTGATATATATTTATATGTAAGATATATATAGTATGTTTTCATTTATATAATATATATGTATATAAATTATTCCTCCAATCTTGTTTTCATTTTCATTACGGTGTCTTTTAATTTTTTTTAATGTTAATTTAGTTTTGAGTGGGAAAGAGACAGAGCATGAGTGGGGGAAGGACAGAGAGAGAGGGAGACACAGAATCCGAAGGAGGCTGCAGGCTCTGAGCTATCAGCCCAGAGCTCCATGGAGGGCTCAAAACCAACAGATTGGAAGACATGAACTAAGCTGAAGTAGAGTGCTTAACTATCTGAGCCACTCAGAAGACCCCATTATGGTGTCTTTTAAATACATAAGTTCTTTTGATTTAAAATTAACTTGTTAATTTTAATAATAATTAACCAATTTAAAGAACTCTTTACCTAACCCATGACTAAAATTTCCTCCTGTATTTTCTCCAAGAGTTTTAAAGTTTTATGTTTTGTGTTTATATATACATTTTGAGTCAACTTTTTGTGCATGGTGTGAGGTGCAACTTGAAATTGTTTTTGCATATGTCCCAGGACTATTTGTTGAAAAGATTATCTTGTCTCCATTGAACTGACTTTTTGCATTTTTGTCAATCAGTTGGCCATATTTGTTTGAATCTGTTTCTGAACTTTACTCTTTTTAATTGATTTTTGTGTCTGTGCTGACACCAG